ATTAAACCATCATTGGAGGTCGGCTGTTGGAGTCACTGAGACCATTAAACCATCATTGGAGGTCTGTTGAGCACTGGAGTTGAGGTCGCTGAGGACCATTAAACCATCATTGGAGGTCGGCTGTTGAGTCACTGAGTACCATTAAAACCATCATTGGAGGTCGGCTGTTGAGTCGCTGAGGACCATTAAACCATCATGGAGGTCGGCTGTTGAGTCGCTGAGGACCATTAAAACCATCATTGGAGGTCGGCTGTTGAGTCACTGAGTACCATTAAACCATCATTGGAGGTCGGCTATTTGAGTCACTGGAGTACCATTAAATTGAGGTTTGGCTGTTGAGTCACTGAGGACCATTAAACCATCATTGGAGGTCGGCTGTTGAGTCGCTGAGGACCATTAAACCATCATTGGAGGTCGGCTGTTGAGTCGCTGAGGACCATTAAACCATCATTGGAGGCTTGGCTGTTGAGTCGCTGGAGGACCATTAAACCATCATTGAGGTCGGCTGTTGAGTCACTGAGGACCATTAAACCATCATTGGAGGTCGGCTGTTGAGTCGCTGAGGACCATTAAACCATCATTGGAGGTCGGCTGTTGAGTCACTGAGGACCATTAAACCATCATTGAGGTCGGCTGTTGAGTCGCTGAGGACCATTAAACCATCATTGGAAGTCGGCTGTTGAGTCACTGGAGGACCATTAGTAAACCATCATTGGAGGTCGGCTGTTGAGTCACTGAGGACCATTAAACCATCATTGGAGGTCGGCTGTTGAGTTGAGGACCATTAAAAGTCGGCTGTTGAGGTCGGCTGTTGCGACCATTAAACCATCATTGGAGGTCGGCTGTTGAGTCACTGAGACCATTAAACCATCATTGAGGTCGGCTGTTGAGTCACTGAGGACCATTAAACCATCATTGGAGGTCGGCTGTTGAGTCACTGAGGACCATTAAACCATAATTGGAGGTCGGCTGTTGAGTCACTGAGGACCATTAAACAATCATTGGAGGTCGGCTGTTGAGTCGCTGAGCACCATTAAACCATCATTGGAGGTCGGCTGTTGAGTCACTGAGGACCATTAAACCATCATTGGAGGTCGGCTGTTGAGTCACTGAGGACCATTAAACCATTATCATCATCTAAGATAAAAAATCCGAATAAATCTTAATAAATTTTTGTAATAATTTGATTATATCAAATTATTTTAGGAAATTTTGATTAATAAATAAAACTGAGTTGACTAAACTTCACCACTACAACACCTGTGTCAAGTCGGAAAGGTTGGCATCACTGGACCAGCCAAGGTGAGGTGACCAGGGATTGATTGAATTGATTGATTGTAACAGTTTATTTAGCCAGAAAAATACAGATACAGAGTGAATAATAATAACAATATTAACATGGCTGAGCCAGTTGAGAACCTGAGCTCTCTTTGGGGCACCTGATATATACTATACATTTATCTCAAGGAAGTATTATGTAACATTTGGTATCATCTGGAATAGTACAATAGAATGGTGGTAATAACAACATGTTACCACGGTTACCACTTCAATATTTATTTATTTTATTATTTATTATTTTTATTTATTTTTTATTTATTTATTTATTTATTTATACATACATATACAGGTATACACACACACACACACACACACATATATATATATATATATATATATATATATATATATATATATATATATATATATATATATATATATATATATATACACACATACATACACATACACATATACATATAAATTAGAGTGGAATTTAAAAACATAAGTATAATGGGGGAGCAGTACAACCTGGGTTGTACAGTAATAAGGTTGAACAAGAGGACAGAGCTTTCAGGATTATGTCTAGTTGGCAATTATGTTTATTGCAATGGTAATTACTTATTTATTTACATGATAATTTCCGATAAAACGGATTTGGTGGTACAATAAAAGCAGGTACTGTAAATATAGTAAGTGTTACAAGAAATATTAATACTTCGACAATAGATATTTTTTTAGAGATGATTTAAAGGAAGGGAGCGTAGTCTTTGCTCGGATGGGTGGGGGTAAGTTGTTCCACACCTTCACACCGTGATATTTTATGGAGGTCTGGGACTGAGAGGAGCGCATGGGGGGTGGTCTTAGTAGCTCTGGGTGCCTTAAGTTGTATCTCTGATTATTCCGGAACTGGAAGTAATTATTGTCAATCAAGTGATTGATAGGTTTGTAAACAAAGAGGGCACAGCAGTAAGTGTTAATATCCTCGAATTTTAAAAAATTCAAAATAGCAAATTTTTCGTTTGAGTGATCTGCTCTCTTCAAGTAGGTCATTGACCCAGACTTCACCACGTGCACTACACACTCTCTGTCAAGCCTCAGTTTGTGATGATTGTGATGATATTCCAGCACTATATATCGCTACACTACACGGGTAAGGGTTTTATATTATTCTATATTCCTGACGTTAATTGTTTTTGACGATAGGTAATCTAGTAATTGAAATATATAGGTGACTTTGAGACAGGTGTCAACCATATTTATGCCTGGCGATATTGAAGTTCTATTTTTTTCCTGTTGGGAGTTTGAAGAGAATTATACAGTCAGTGAAGTTATTACTATTATGGTTAAGTTAAGAATATTCTGATGGTATATTGTTAAAGTGGTAACAAGGTGATCGGAGTTAGTTTAACATAAGGAAACTTCAGGTTAATTTACTAAGTTTTATCAACATGAAGACCCACGAACTACACCTGCAACAAACTACACACTACTCTTCTGTGTATTATTAAACTAGCAGTCAAGTCCTAAGGATGGGTGGGAGGGAAACACAGGAAAGGGCTAAGTTTCTTTATTCCTCTACCGTTCCGGGCTACACAGAAGCCATCCTCAGGGAGACGGCTACACAGAAGCCATCCTCAGGGAGACAGTTACGTGTGTCTCCCGGCCTGGACCTAGCTTCTATGGGCGCCTTGTTGTGACAAAGTTTAGTCGGCGGTATTGACTGTCCCGATGTAACCTTCCCTATGGTTAATTATTTCTTCAGCTTATTTCACATGAAGATTAACCCCCCCCTCCCTTCCTCCTCAAAGCTTATTTCACCTGAAGATTAACACCCCTAATGCTAACCTAACCTATCCTCTCCTATATTAACTTAATCCAACTGAACCTAATTTGACGTAACCTAACCTGACGTTAACCTAACCCAACCCAACCTAACTTAAGCCCCTAGGAAGTGTTAGAATGTTTAGTAATGAAGTGAATTAAGCGGGATAATTAATCTTCAGGTGATGGGAAGAACTTAAAAGAGTTCGCGGTAGGTAGTGGAGAAGAGTGAGTGTACAGCTAACGGAGGAGGAGGAGAGAACTGACAAGGAGAGAGGAGAAGCGTAGATAGATGATGTCAGGAAATGGGTGATAGCTTGGAGGAGAGGTAGAGCAAGAGTAAGGCCAGAGAGAGACAGTGAAGAGAAGATGAGGAGAGAAAGGAAGCAAGAGGAAGATGGTGGATAGCAAAGGCAGAGAGGAGGCCATGAGCGTGTGTGTGTGTGTGTGTGTGTGTGTGTGTGTGTGTGCTTCCAAACACTCTAGTAAAACAACAAATACATCTTGTAGCGTCAGGATATGTATTTCTTGTCACTTAGTAGTAATGTAGTAGTAGTAGCACCGGTAGTAGTAGTAGAAGTAGTAGTATTAGTAGTAGTGCCAGTAGTAGTAGGTTAATAGTAGTAGTAGTAATAATGGAAGCAGTGTTAATAATAGTAGTAATGATAGTAGTAGTAATAGTAGCAGTAATGGAAATAGTAGCAGTAACGGAAGTAGTAGTCGTAGTAGTAGTAGCAGTAGTATGGCCACGTAAACAAATACAACACCATCTAGGTAATAATGGAAGCAGTGTTAATAATAGTAGTAATGATAGTAGTAGTAATAGTAGCAGTAATGGAAATAGTAGCAGTAACGGAAGTAGTAGTCGTAGTAGTAGTAGCAGTAGTATGGCCACGTAAACAAATACAACACCATCTAGGAACTTCCACTAAGACATATGCTCACACTAGAAGCATGAGGCAGACATACTGAGAGCCCCAGCCATTATCCCTAGACCTTGAGCCTTATAATAACCATACGAAGACGAGACAAGGAAGAAATGTAAGAAAGGGGTGTAATTGATGAATGAGAGGAGAGAGAGAGAGAGAGATAGGTGAGGAGGGAGGGAGGGAGGAAAGGAAGGAAGGAAAATTTGATCAAAGTGGAAGGTAGGAGAGAGAGGAGATAGGAAGAAGGGAAGATGATTGTAGGTAGAGAAAATGAGAAACATAGAAGGAAGGAAGAAGTAAAAAACGTAAAAATAGTGAAAAAACCAACGAATTTCTTTTACTTTCTGTTTTTTATTACCAGATCAAAATTGTGAATATTTCTAGTCTGCTATTTTATGTTTTCATCCACAAAACAAATAAAATTCACAAAATAAGAGAAGACGCAGGAGTGATTTTGTTTTTTATTTCGTAAGTTCCGACAGCCAAGGCTATTGCCACGCACAATTGGCTACACCGTTAACTTTGGGTGAATGTAGGGGAGGTGAAGGGGAGAAGGGGAGTGGAAGGGGAATTAAAAAAAGGAGGGAAGAGGAAGAGGGTGAATAGGGATGAGGGAAGAAGAAAGTCAATGAAGGGGAAGGAGGAGAAAGGGGAAAAGAGAAAGAGGGAAGGAGGAGGAAGAAAGGGAAGGAGTGAATGGAGGAAAGGGGAAGGGGAGAATGGTACCTCCTCTTGGCTAGTTCTCATAGACACACAACTGACGATCCACCGTAGAAA